GGCCCTACTGCCAGGGTCCAAACCTCCCAAGTGCTCAGTGAGGGGAAAGCTCCAGCAACCTTCACTGCCCCTCAGAGAGAGGGAATGCTGGCTTCACCTGGCTCTTCAGCTACCAGCATAGCACTGCCATGTAACCACAGAAGCTGTACTGGCAGTAACTGGTGAAGCTACCTGGCAGAAAGCACATGAACTCACATGTGTATCAAGATATGAATTGTCTCACAGCCCTGTCCATGACTCATGAGCTCTCTGCAGAAAATTTAGCCAATAAGGCTTCAAATAACAGAGCTGCATGCCAAACACTTCACAGGCCTGGGACTTAAACCTTGCAAATAAAATCATTAAACACTGCTTCCAGTGGGGAACAAAGCGATTGAAAATGACAAAGAAAGATGAAGTGCTTTCAGGAGCTTTCTTCTCCTACAACCCTAGATCTTACTGTTGGCCAAGAGAGGGGGAAAAAGATCACTTACCTATATATAATTAAAGCAGCAATAAGCAGCAAAATAAACAAGATGCTGAGAAGGCCTCCAATAATGTAGCTGACATGCAGTCCTTCTCCTGAAAAGTGAACAGCAAAGGTAATTTATGCACTCTCCTCAACTTCCACTGGACAATACTGACCTTGGTGTTAACACCGAATACAGGGGGTTTATACCATACAGAAGTATGTAAAGGAAAATGTCAGTACACCAAAGTTCAGCAGAGGGCTTTGGCTTCATATGAAACCAAACCCTTCCTTTCACCCAAGCTCCAGCAAACCAAGGAGCATGATGTTTGTAAAGGGGTTGGATAATGATGAGTTAGACCCCCTTTGCTGACAGATTACTCCTGCAGTGGGAAACAATTACTCTAGTCAACCATCCTCAACCAAACACAAAGTGAATAGTAAGGAAGAGTATGTTAGTGGGAAAGGCCCAACGGATGAGGTATGAGATGAAAGAAAACTATTCTTCAGACCAAAGTGCTGTTTGAAAAACTCCCCATAGAGGATAATGAAGGTGTATGACCAATGTTCATCCTCAGGCACACTTTGCTCTGCTCAGAGGGCATCTGAATAATTCAAATCCAAATTCTGAAATCGGAGTTTCAAACACTATGGACTGGAAGGCCCTGGGCAGATCTGGAGGAAAACCCTGGTGGAGAAGAGTTAAAGAGAAGGAACTCACCCATGGTTGCCAACACTGCCTCATTGGCATGGGCACACAAGCCTCGCCTAGCATCTTTGTCAGAGCAGCTGAATGACAGAAGGACAGTTAGTTACTGAAGGTAGTATCAACAGTATCAAAGGTATGAAAAGACAGGATGGAACTGGCTAGTACTGATATCCCTTCCATTTCCAGTTCAACAGAAGCCTTCGTTTCTCTTCTTCAGTATTCTTCTGTATCCAGAGGAGAAAGGACCATATAAATATATGGGGGGGGGGTGGGAGGGGGGCGGAGGGGG